CATTTTTTGAAATTCAATCTGTAACTCAGATGAATTACATATTCAAAAAAGCGGATCCAGCAATGAAGTGGAGAAAGGCCAAACTTTAGAGCCTCTGGGTTGATGACGCGCTCCTGAACATGGTCTAGGTCATTCATTTCTGAAGGTTTGGCCCCACAAACAGGACATAGTTGAGCACTCTTAGTGTCTGTAATGGCGTTGGCAATTTTACCATCAATCATTGTCAAAGCCAACTGATGCTCGATGATAACACTGAATGAAGGAAGCTGAACAGATGTAGGAGTCAGTTGCCGGATTTGATTTTCAATGGCTTTCATTTCCTGTTTAGCTACTTCCACAGTTTCCTTGATAAACTTAAATGCAATCGGTCGACAAAATCTTGCAGAAGATGGCTTTGGATTCTGCCATATAATGACCTTCCCCTCAGATTTTCTTAGGAAAAGTTGCAGTGGAACCAAAGATGTCACGAAAATGCAATCTTCTTTTATTTCCTTGTCAGGCTGTGCAAACTTTTGCCTATATTCAGATTGCCCAGATGTTCCATCAAATCCCCACTTACTGATGAGAATGAAGTTCAAGGGGCATTTGTCCGGAAGTACTTCCAAAACTGGCATCTGCAGCTGAACCAGTCGACTGGCAGTGTGATTCAACAGTTCTTGCAATGGAATCTCTGCTCCTACTTCGGTCACCTTCACTCCATATGGGTAACAGCATTTCTTGGCTTCAAGGAGGACTACATACCGGGGATAAATGTCTGCATTCCGGACCTTGGCTTCCTTTCGTATCAATCCATAGCTGGACCTTGACAAGTCTGCCTCTATATACAGGGCAAGAGCTTCATCGGGTGTGAATGGTTTGACTTCCTGTTTCCTTTTGGCCTGAACATAGGCTGTTGCCATTTCTTTGAGCCTGGCTGGTGATGCTTGAACGACGTCTTTCAATAAGTTGGCGGCATCAAACTTTCTCTCTTGTCGAAGCTTTACTTGTGCTGCAAATGCCAACTCTTCAGGTGATGCCATCTGTGTCAATGTCGCGGTTTTTCGACGTTTAGACCTGTCGCCACTCTCATGGAATAGTTTTTCTGGCCTTCCAACGGAGGCCACTCGAAGAGGAATCTTGCAACAGCCAATCTGTGGCCATTGGAATACAACTTCCAGCCAATTGGCGTTACTCACTAAAAACCTCTCTGTCTTTCTGCAAGCCTTCGCCCAACGAACAGAGGCAAGACTTTTGAAAATCTTGACACTTTTCGACAATTGGCATGGCCGCGATTCATGAAAATGTTCATTTATTTCGTAGTGGTCTTGAATGAACTTGACCAGCATAGGAATGATTCCTGAGTCAGCATGGTCCGCTTGCTTCATCGCCCTCATGGTGTTGTAGAGGTCCCTTCGGGTCAAAGGCTTGGGCATCCTTCCTGAAGAAATTGAGAGACCAGCAATATAAAAATAATTTCCTCACTTTAGGCGCAGCTGGGCGCAGGAGATTAGGGGCTCATTTTCTTCTTCATTAATAGGTACTTTATGGCCTGTGAGGAATTCTCTGAGAAATCCTGAGAAGTATTTCAAATTCACTCGATAACAGTGCATTGTCATCCGAAGTAGTTCGCCAATCAACTACACAGGATCTAATAAATAATATAAGTTATGCATATATAGCAGGAGTAAAATTATATATACAATAAGCAAGACTCACCTTTAGGTACACCTTCAGATCACATTTGATGGAAACAAATTGACAAGAACAGTCACACCACAAGACAAACTTCTGCCATGTTTTGGCATCAAGTACCTATATTTTAAGAAAAGTTCGAATCATTGACCTTTGCTCCACGTAATGGCTGATAAAGGACCGAAGTAAGGCCTAAGGAAATATAGATACGGGAACAGGACTTTAACCCGTAACTTTTAATGGCAAAGGATTTTTTCCTCCTCCATTTTCAAAATATGACTTTTGTCCAAGAATTTCCAGCTTTTGTACCACTGTGCGTCGGTCGAAACAACGGTAGGTCTCTCGACGCGTTCGGCGATGTTAAATCGGATGAGGCAAATGGAGAGAGAGATTTAGGAGTTTGTATCGATGAGGACCTCAAGTTTTCCTCGCATGCGCAAGCGACGGTGGCCAAATGCAACAGGATTCTAGTTTACATTCTCCGTTCAGTTGCAAGTAGGACTTCGCGCGTTATTCTTCCGTTGCATGCGGCGCTGATAAGACCCCAGTTGCAATATTGCATCCAGTTTTACAGGCCTACAAATAAGGGCGATTTGTTTGCGCTCGAGGGAGTACAGAGGAGGGCTACAAGAATGATCAAGGAGGTCAGGGGACATTCATACGAGAAGCGTTTAGAAGTGTTGGGACTTCACTCGCTCGAACGAAGGTTAAGGAGTGGCGATCTCATTCAGGCTTTGAAGATAATTAAAGGAGTCGATAATTTTGAATGTGATAGGTTTTTTCAAGTTTGATGGCAGCAAGAGAACGAGAGGTAACCGACTTAAGTTACGCAAACCGCAGGTGCGGCTCAGGTAGAGACGGGAATTCTTTACTTGCGGAGTTGTGAACGCGTGGAACGAGTTAGATGACGAAGTAGTGGCTGCCCTGCACTGTGACTATCTTTAAGAAGAAACTGGATGCTTTCATGGACAGGCAAAAAGCGGGGGGCAATGTTGACGTTAGGTACTAGGCAGTAAGCAACTAGGATATTCAACAAAAAAAAACAGAAACAAAACAAAAATACAAAAATACAAAATATAGAGCTTTAAGAGGTTTAGACCTACCTAAAATTAAGGAACGCTCGACCTCGACACGTGATATAGGTGAATGGGTGAAATCTCCTCTTGATATCACTATCTTGAAACTTGAAAAAAAAAAATCCTCTCCTGCAATTTCGGTGGAAACTGATATCAATGCATTGGTTGGAGATTTTTAAATATAGTTTTTACGTTGTGTGATAGGATAGTGGGATGCCCGATGGGAACATATGAGACTAGTTTTTTCCTAAACATTGGTATTTGTCTATACCAGTAGGAAGTAAATCAGAGTTCCCTGGAAAATTACGATCGAAGACGAAAAAGAACCCCCCCTATGTAAGTGTAATGGTGATTTTTAGAATGACACTGTTCGCAGCTGAGCATTTTGATATATTCATTAATATATATTCATGGATGTGGTCGTGCATTTACTCCTCATTTCGTATACAGGGTGTGGCAAAAGTAGGTATACAATAGTAATTGTATTTAATTTGCTTATTTGCAATTAGGGAATAATGGCATGTATTACATTTTATTTAGTACTTTTCCAATCCGTCTGTAACAGCCATTTTTATTGCTCGGAAGTCAGGTTCTTTGCCATTATCCTGTAATTGTAAGCATAAAAATGAAATACAATTACTGCAATTGAATATAGACATCCTTTTTCCACACCCTATATATGGCTTTTTACTTTTCACTCAGGAAGCAATCCCCTGCTGAAGTTTCCATCTGAAATAATTGGGGGAATGACGAATTTGGAGAAGTTGTGGTCTGAAAGGTGCAACCTGGGTCCTACCCTTACAAGAGGTTTCCTGGAATTTCATAGCAAGTCCTTAAAAGAGGTACACCTCTCGAGTAACAACATCTCCGCACTGGAGCCAGGAGCCATCACAGGTATGTTTCTTCAGCACAATGGATTACGGAGGCTAATGGAGAACACCTTCAGCACCATCATGATAAATATTGCCGAGCAGATTCAAAAGGGAATGTGTATTATGCTAGGCTTCTAAAACCAAAGACCTGACTTGCAATGATCATAACTATTGCGTCTTTAGTTTCCGCGTGTGCTCGTTGTATTCAGTACGGGTGGCAATATTAGACCAAAGTGTCCATCACTTTAATTTTCACCATGCACTCAGAGAAATCGGTGAATCGAGACGATATACTTCTCTCAATTTTCGCATTTCGATTTATTTTTCTCAAGAGAAAAAGACATCAGCTGGATTTTCGATTTATATCTCTCGTTTTCCGACCGTGCCGGGTCGCCTGAAAGGCGTTTGCAAAACCAAAGTGCGTCTATAGCCGAGTCGAGAGGGTGGTTTGAGTTGCTTTGCATCGTCTAGACGCATGTTAACCTCCGTATTCCACTTCGTGCCGAGGACGCCTTCCCCCCCCCCCCCNGCATCCAAAATTCGATGCGATAAAGACGCATCACATGGAGGACAGATTTTTTCGCGAGAAAAATGCATCGAACTGAGGCACTGAATTTTCTGTGTGTGGCTGCCATCTTGAAGAAGCCCATCTGTTTTTGAAGAGTCACACCTAATCTAAATGATCATTGTTAGCTTTGGTTTCCAAATGCCATTGAAAGAATATGTGTTTTACTTAGGGTATTCTTTCAACACCAGTTCATTTTCCAGAATTTTAGCGAGTTTTTAAAGATAAAGTACACATTCAAAAGACTATTACAAATATCGAGTTGTTCATATGCAGTCCTTCAAACGCAGTTATAAATCTTAATTTTTAAGATTTCGGATCAGGAAATGTTACAGGGAGAAAACTAGGATCGAATATTAGACGAAGTAAAATTCAAGGAGAATTTGGGCAGGTGTCATTGTTTACCTCATGTAAATTACATGATCATGTAATTTATATTGATGCGAGAGAATAAGATGGTGAGTGATTAACGTTGGTCATACTTTTGTGTCTGATGCAGTAGAAAGCAAAAAAAAAAAGGGTTCATCTAATTCGCGAAGTGACTCTGACATTTGCCAAACGTCGTCAAATTCGTTCTCACCTGCACTCCCCAAAAATCCGCTTATGCCACATAAACACCGTTGTTTACTCTTCCTTGTAAGGTTCCCAACCTATTTATGTCATGCGATTGCCAGCATTAGTTCGCAAATTGAATGAATAACCCTTGTACAATACTCATTCATCCATCAACAAAAAAACCTCGGAAACTGCGAAAAAACGCGGAAAAGATGCTGTCACATTCTCCATTTACGGAATATCCGGAAAAATTAATTTACCATCAATATCAACTTCAAAAATATTAAAGAAGGAGATTCAGTCAGTAAAGTGTGTTATGGTAACCCACCTCGCTGTCTGACTGTTACGATATGGCAATGGAACCTTTCTCAGTTTTGCCACTATATGAAGTGATATTGTGCTTCTGAACAGGAATTTGCTGTTCGATATGAAAACTTTTCAACATTTCGGGGCTTGAAATATCAGGGCTTATTAGGCACAGGCACTTGTCCCATGGTAAAGGGTACTCCTTGCAGGAAACTATCTCGTCGGGAAGTGACTCTGAAGCCTCTCATGCCTTCATGTCATATGCTACGAAAACAACAACTTCATTGTCAAGCTGGAAAAAATGCTTTGAGTTGAGAGTTATTCATCATGCGCTCATAATTTTAATTACAGGTCTTGGACCAAATACGTTGCTCGATCTGAGCCAAAACGAGATCGCTGAATTGTCTGGGGAGAATTTCCGTCCAATATTGGACCACCTCCTTAGGGGAAACGGAACCCTTGCCCTAAGCGGTGAGTTTGCAATCTCTCTCGGTTGCAGTTTTTTTTTGCTGCTAACTTCATCTGAAGAATGACACTCCTTCTCGTGCTCCTAATGCAGGCAATCCGATTGAGTGCGATTGTGACATGTCATGGCTCGTGCTTGGACAGAAATACTTAGAGAAATTTTCTGGAAAGTGTGGCAACGGAACGGAATTCAAAGACTTGGATATGGATTACATGACAGGCTGTGATCGTCAATGTCCTTACCAGTGCGTTAAGCTCCAATGGTATTCGTTCTGCAACCCGGAGACAGTGACTCTATTCAAAGGTGGACAACTGTCGGTCCGAGGAATTATGCTGTCAGCCACAGTTAGCGACAGTAAGACCAGTGCAACCATGCCCATCCACCCACGTGTGCCTTCATCGCTCTGACACAAGCAAGTGCCATCCAGGAACGGAGATCCCAGACGCAGCATGCTCGGGAAGTGCCGTGTGTTGCATTGTCACCACCGTTCCCGAGATTCCCACTCCTTCCCACTCATCCAGTTTCGGTGAGCTTCTCTATGCAGTCTTTAAAAAGGTTTTTGTTATAATTTACGAAAAAGCTGTTGCACATAAATGTGATATCAGTGCTTTTCAAAGAAAATCAGTATGACAAACCTGAAGTCCTCTGAATTCGACGTAACTAAGGGATACCTCATACGAGAGCGAATCAATTGCGTACATTGCATGCTTAGTGAAGAATAGTGAAATTAGTAGAGATATCTTCAGGCATGTTTTGCAAAAAGTCAGGCCACAACCCCAAATGGGTTACATGCCCAGCATCCTTCTACTACTGAAAAAGTTCACAGGACACGAGAAAGGAGAACCATTGAGAAGCAATTTACTAACATTCACGTAACGCTAAGCAGAATATCTCAGTCCTACTCAGTCCATCCATTATAGCCATGACCATGAAAGCAGTTCCGACGTTTTCTTCTGTCAACAGGTTGCAGGCAGCTCAGCAGCATCGATCATGGATCTTTTACTATCGAGTCTTGTGCGAGCCTATCTGACGAAGTCAATGGAACAAACGCTGAAAATTGCGTTCAAGATGGCACATTTCAACCTGGGACCGTTGTTACGTACGGGTGCAATATATATTATGAACTACAAGGTTCGGTTATTAGAAGATGCAAGCAAAATGGAGAATGGACTGGACAACTGCCGTTCTGTAAGCCAGGTTAGTGTATCTTACCATCATTTTCCTTCTTTACCAAAGACATTATTACTTTTTATGAATACTTCTATTTCTTACGTCCTATTCCTAGTATGTGGGAGACTAGAACATCAAGTTCCTTTATCAGCAGGAGGAAAACCGTCGGAGATTGGAGAGTGGCCCTGGCAAGCGGGCATTTACGATGTCGAGAAAGGAAAACTCGTTTGTGGAGGGGCGCTTATCCAGGAGCAATCGGTGCTGACGGCCGCACATTGCGTCGCTGTTGGAGGTACCAGTAGAGCTCGGAAAACCAAGAATATTTTGGTCTACCTTGGGAAACACTATCGATCTAATGCTAGGGACGACGAACTCGTCCAAGTCAAAGAGGTTAAGTAGGAAAGATATTGTCGCAATTTTTATCCATTCGATTCCTCGTTACGGAAAAATACTAAACCTTGCAGGTGTCGCGCATAATCATACACAAGGATTTCCAGATCCATAATTTCGACGGGGACATAGCTCTGTTGAGATTATCTGAACCCGCCGTGTTGACTGCCCGAGTTCAGCTGCTGTGTCTTCCGAACCGATTTTTTATCTCCGAGTTGAACCTCCAGGTCGGAGTGGAAGGATGGGTAAGCCGTTAAAATATACCAATTCCTAAAAGGTTCCGGATCGAGTTCTCGCTGAATGCTTTCTCTTTCTGCTTGCGGGATGATGCAGGTGGCCGGTTGGGGTAGTGATGAAACGGATAATCTGCCGCTCGTCCTGACGAAAGTGAAACTTCCGGTGATAGCCAATCCCATATGCATTCGGGACACCATTCATTTCACGGGGGACAAGGACATTGCTCGTACTCTTTCCTCAAACATGTTCTGCGCTGGTCACGGAGCGGATACTCCTCTTAAAGGTATGGTCTCAAGAACTGGGAATATGTTAATTGCCTATCTTGGATGAAACGCGTCCTGAACCTGAGTTATGATCGAATCTTCCTAAGCGCATGTTTCTATATAATTTTTAAAATATTCATTTCATCGTTATGAGTGCCTGCTCATTTGTTGAGATTTCTTCTGAAGTTTAATATTACGTAAATCATGCAGCTGGAATTATGGAGGAGTGAGTCTTTAATACGAAATTCCCAACCAGATGCTGTAGCCATGACCAACATGACGGCTTCTCTCAGTTGTGGAAAGAACTTCAAATTGATCCTAATTCCTATAAATGATCAACATTTTCTCGGAGGCTCACGCCGAGTTTCCAAACAACGAATTGTAACACGGAGAGGCATTCCTATCCCGCTTTCTCTGAGGAATGAAAGAGGACGCAAAAAGTGATGTGGAGTGACCCATTTCTAGATCAACGAACGGGAATATCGATAATGTTCCTTGCTGTATAGCTTTTCAATCAGTTTGTCCCGGTGACTCCGGAAGCCCCATGGTCTTCCAATCCAACGCTTCATTGGACAGCCCGTGGACGGTGGAAGGGATCGTGAGTCACTTCTTTCGGAAGACTGATTGCTCCATGAGGCCCCCAGGACAATATGGCATTTTCACGAAAGTTAACAGGTGAATTTTGATTAATTCCATTCGGTTGCTTCGTTATTCTTCATATCTTGTTCCCATCAAAAATTTGCATTTTGCTTTCTCCTCAGGTTCACCCAGTGGATCAATGAGATAATGCAAAGGGTCTTTTGAAAATTCGGAATCGACGGAATTACCCACAAGATATAGAGGAATCGAAGTGAAATATATTCACGACGAAGAACGTCCTGTACCAACTTTACCAATGCACTAAACATGAGCAAATTTTCATCCCGTTCACTCACAGACACAGAAATCCACATGTTGATCACATAAACTTAATCATATTTATACGAGTGCTGGTCGGAAAGTAGAGTAAGTTGGATTGGGTTTCGAGCCGCGTTTATTCAAATGACCTCACTTGTATGGGTAGTGCGTGTGCACCACTATTTCTAGATATAGTTGCCTTAAAGGTTCAGACAGTTCCAACAGTTTGGTGACCTTCCAGCGAAACCTCTGCAAAAGCTTCTGTGTTTGATGTAGATGATGATATAGTGACGTGCGTCGTCTTGCGACGAGGTCACCTCCCTCGGCGAGGAGTCCTGGTCGCTTTATTTTCATGGTCGCATGCGGTCGCCTCAGTGTGGCACTGCTGGAGTTGTATCCGCGAACTTCGGAGGTCAGTGACTCACCTGATATGTTGGGCTCACCTGACGGAGAGCAGGGGTTCGAATTCTGACCAGATCTGGCATTTTCATTCCCGATATAGACACCGACGTGTTCGGATGAGGCACTGAAGCAATTTTGACAAGGTGTGGATTGAATGTATCGCTGTTGACAGTTACATCCATTGTTGCATCAACATTGATTCAACGCTTTGACCGTCACCGTTCATACACTCACTCTGTAGGTGACAGAATGCCTTGAAGGAGACCCGTGTTCTTTATTCATCTTATGGTGGAAGGGTAAACGGGTTTCTGAATTTGTCCCACCCTTTAGCATAAAGGGAAATTGTCCACTGAATATGCAATGCAGGAAGATGCCAGAACATATATATAATAAGAATTAAATAATTTATATGAATAATGAGCAATACCCAAACATAGACCAATGACTCAGGAACTTCAAAACTCTTTACACCTTGTCAATCTCAGATTCATTGGTTCTCTTACTATTATAGTGGTATTTCTCACGAAGTTTCTACTTTACTAGAAGTAAATTCTTCAAGAAAACTTCATCAAAGCGTTTTGTTCAATCTGATTGATGCTCTTAGGTTTTTTGTCTTTCCAACGTTGGCCGCCACCCACTCTCACGCAGATCAATAACATCTTGCAAGATGAACCTCACCCGACTGCTTGTCAATCGTGCCTTCACTATCTTGTCGATTGTCTTGAAGTATGAGTTCATCTGCTGACGGTGCATCTCTGAATTTAAACAGGAAGATCCCCCCTTCATAGTCAGATCCGAATCTTCCATATGCTTCCCGATCGTTGTGAGCAGCTTGCACAGGCACTCAAGAGAACCTTCATCGCGACTTTTTGCCCACCCAGAGAAAAGTTGCTGTATGCATTCGTGCATGATCTTCACTGTCAGCATCCCCAGCTTGAACAATTCTCCAATGAACCTATTTGGATATAGAGCACCATTTCATAGGTCTAATGCAAACATTCTCTTGACGAGTGAAACACTCATCAAACCATTATTCTTGAAAAGGCGTTCCACAGGGGACTTTCTGGGTGGGATAACATTCTGGCATCATTATTTCTCAATTTCTGTCAAATAAAATGTTCAAAACCAACAAATCATACCTAACAATGCCAAGGTTTCTTCGACGAATCAGCCTTCCTTGTTCCATAAGCTCCAGTCGTAATTCTTTCTTCTTTCCATCCTGAGTAAGAAATACATATATGGTAAAGAACAACTACTGTATACGAAATAGGCAAATTTGAGTTGTGGTTAGCATGCTAAGACCCATGCATACTCTCTCAGCAGTATCGATCTCGGCCTGCCTTCTTTCCCTGAGACTATATTCGTGGTATAAAGCTTCAAATTCCATCTGGCACTTGACAAGGAGGACCTTGCGGAAATTTATTGTCGGACTAGCTGGGGTTCCTTTAATAGGTTCCAGGGGCACTTGAATTGTCTTTGCCAGGGTTTGACACATGCTTGCATAGACAAGGGAAAATTGTGGTTCATTCACTGCCTGCATAAGAAAAAAAAGTAATGCTGGTGAAAACGACAGGTCTTTCTCTTCTTTGGACGCGTTTTGTTAAAGGGTATATTCAGTTTGAGAACAGACCTTGTTAAAGATGAGATCTGTGACACCTTCCAATTTCTCCTTGGTGTCAATTGGGAGATCCCTGACTTGCTTCACCAAGGTCTCAAAATTTCCAGGGGAGACTTTGTTCAGGATCGCCCGAAATTTCTTGTAAAGGTCCTAGACCAAAATTACATGCTTTATTGGAAAGCTTTGCATCCGAAAGAAAGCAAAGTTCCAGAATATAGAGCAATGAAACTCACTTCTTTCGCCGAATCACCTAAATCAACTACTGCCGTCTTCAACCTAGGTTTCCATGCATTCTCAGTTGAATGCAGTTCCATCTTCTCATTGAACGGTTGCATGTTTTCCATCACTTCTGTTGGAGCCTTAATCTTATTTTCAAGATGCTCTTGACCCTTGAGCAATCCCTGTTGATGTTAAAAGAATGAAATTTGTTAATGCAGCATCGCAGACTCTGAAAATATGGTTCTCTGTTGACTTTTCAATTGTCTTGTCTGTAAGCGATTAGCGATGAGGAATTCCGTTTTTTTAGTCTTTATTTCATATTAAGTCTTCATTTCAAGAATTTCAGATCTGATAAGTGCACAATCATCACTTACGAAATCTAACATTTTTTACTTGATAATTTAAATCTGGAGTTCCCAAAGTGCGACCAGCAAGGCTATTTAAAGTATGACGGTGGTGCACTCAGGAAAAGTGACTGCTCCTAATGTTCAATAATACTTCGCTATAAAAAAAGGCTCAAATTCCTTTGTTTGTAATAGTCCTATTTGATATGTGACGCTCCAGCTTAACCGCAAATGACGTTCCAGACAAATACAACTAGCTGTAAATATTAAAAATGATTCACTTGATATTTCAATCGTAGTTATATTTTTTTTTACGTAATCAAGAAAAATCGCCTGGGAGAAGCAATTTCTTGGTTGATTACACGTATCCTCAGGCACTTCCCTTCGCTATGTTTCGAGGTGGTTGAGTTTAGAGTACAGACAGTCTTAGAGATAAAGATAATATCTCGTTAACTACTTAAGTGAAAAATACTGCATCGTAATCAGGAGGATGTACATTTTTAGGGAAAAGGTTTTCTTACCAGCACTGAGTGAACCTATTTTCTTCTGACAACTAAGGTGAATGACGATAAATGTAGGTCGATCGGAAAGCTTAAAATTGTAAGATAGTAAAATGCAACTGGGAACATTAAAACGAAAGGCAAGAAGTGCAGTTATATAACTTCTTAAATAAGAATATATTTCGCCTGCATTCTGGCCTGTTAAAGGGGGGCGAACGAGCCCCGACCTTTGTACCTTTTAAGAAACGCAGCCACATTTCGTAAATAACTGCTTTAAAAAGAAGGTACCATAAATCTGAGGATTTCTTTGCAAAGATACAATGATATATAATCCAGCATACAGAGGCAGTGGGAATATTGATTCGTAATGTGAACTTTTTCAAGGGCACCTGCTGCATTGATTCCAAAACTCTACAGATTTCTTGAGTTATATTCGGAAATAATATTTTTTCCTTGGAGAAGAAGCTCGGAACACACCTTTGTGCAGTGAAGGTAATTCACAGACCCCAAATCCAAGGGTGGAGCCAGTGCGGAGGGAGCAAGGTGCGATGGCGAAGCGATGGGAGACTCGGTCTCGAAGGCCTCCAAATCGCCTTCCATCGCATCGCCTCTCTCCCCTTCCCCTTTTGAGTCGAGCTCCGTGGGCATCGCCTTACTCTGCGTCTCCTGGGTTGCCGCGCCGCCTGCGCAGCAGGAATGGACTATGTTGACTCGTTTCAATGGAATGCGTTGGGCTTGCATGCATTGGTGTACAGTATTTGGAAGGAATAAATGCAACTGCGTCGACATGTTCAATTCGAATCACATCTTCAGTACATAGAATTATCTAAGTTTTAAATGTAGAGATGAAAAAAATCGTCCGAGAAAACTTGGGAAAGTGACACTGCCTCTGGGGATAGGTATCCAGTATTTAAGTTATCCTTCTTTGCTTTCCTTCTGACCACTTCTGAGTCATCATGACTGGGACGACTAAAACAACTTTTTGTGGGTATTGTGAAAAGAGATTCCCTAATTTATCCATTAGATGAGACTTTTACGCTTCCACGGTACATAATTGGGGTACAGCTTTACAACGTACTACCGCTAGTTTTCTTGTCAGATTTCATCGGGTTTTGGGGTTGGGGAGCGCTGCATTCCAAATTTCATCAAAATCGTAACCGGTCGGGCGTTACTACCGTTTTAGGGTGAAATTTCCTTGAAAGACTAATGCGGACAATTGAATATTTAATGTTTTTGTATGCTCATGTTTTCCCGGTCTCCTACTAGCGGAATCAAGAAGCTGGGGACATGCGCAACTGACGGTAGTCATCAAAGCAGGCGATTTCTCTTCTTTTCGATTAAAAGAGAGAAGTTGTGAAGTTCGCCGTTGGGAAGCCACACGCTGATTTGTTCCGAGTCACTCTCATATATTTGCATAAACCGGGAGTCAGGCGTACTGTTGGACTCTCGCGTCAACCTGTGAATTTTACGGAATAATTAGGCAGAACTTGTGGGATATTTTCATACCATTCATTTTGAGTCCTACAATTAATTGAAAACGGCTTATTAGTCCTACAATTAACGTATTCCTGAAGAAACTCATGCACAAAATTTTGCTTGAATCCCGAGTTCTATAAAACAATTTTCAAATACCCTAAAACTCAAATACGAATGTTTCATCCATATACATAGGAGTCTAATAGTCAGTCATTCTGTTTTTCCGGGAAACTTCTCCTAGACGGATGAACTGATTTTAATAAGCGAGGTGTCAATCGGAAGCTCATAACCGGAGGTGGATACTTCTTGGGTCGGAAGTCAATAAGGGTGCCGTGAAAGTGGTTTCTGAGGGTTTTCCTGTCCTGCGCGTCAGAGGCCAACACGGGTCGACTTTTCCGAGATGAAACTCGATCGGCCCGATCGGAATCGTGGGCCGCACCCGACCCGGAACGCGATTGTCGGGTGAGCTTTGCTGCTCCGAACAGCGAATCGTGTTGTGCTAAATGGCTTCTGGATGGGTTGTGTGAAATCGGTGCTTCGAGATCTCTCATCCATAGGCGTATGCATAATACATAAGAGGATAATCTGTGCCAGGGTGTCAGTCCGGGGAAACTCCTCCGAGACGGATCAACGGACTTGCATTGAACAACAATACCAACCTGGATCTGGGAGCGGGGATTGTAAGGCTTCACCAATTGGCTTCTTCTCCTTCGATTCCTCCAGTATCTCGCCATTCTTGTCCTCGCGGCCATCTCTTTGCCACGCAAGATGAATTCTCAAGTGGAGACCTCTCTGGGTCGTGGTCTCCTCAGGTCTGTTCGTCTCTCTTCTTACGGGCTTGGAATCGGTGTGGAGGCCGACACGGTTCCATGTTTTTCCCATGGCAGGCCCTGCTCCGTACTCTGCTCCGGATCTTTGGAGATGGACGTTGTCTCCGATGTTGGGTTTCCGGCATATGGATTCCCCTTCTCTCTGTTCCTTAGCATTGATTCTTGGGTTCCAGTCGGCCATCTCTGAGTCGTCATGACAAGTACCTCTAAAAGCATCTGATTGTGGGTATCGTCCAATGGATTTCCTTATTTTCTCATCATGCTGGTGGGATTTGTTGCCTATGCGATCCACATTTGAGGTACAACTTGATACCATGCTACGTCCTGTTTTCTTCCCACATGCAGAGTACCGTCCAGGAGAATCAGTTTCATATTCATTCTCAGCCATGTCATCTTCCTCAGGATACTCAGCTTCTTCCTCTAAGAAGATATTCTGATAAAAACGTGATTCATGACAGCTGTCTCTATTTTTGCATCCCGAAGATTGACCATATTGGCAACAAGATGACTTTAGGCAATGCGAGGCTGAAACAAAATCACGATCGCACGCGAGAACTTGATAAAAATTCCAGAAATCACCAAACAAAACCTCAATGCAGGAACGAAGATATGCACAGTTGGTGGATCTGCAATTCCCAGCCACACGTGACGCTGAGCAGTCTGAATTCCTCTTTCTCCAGCTGTGGTACACTTGGCAGCAAAGATGCCCCTCCCGGCAGTCTTCTTTTGGAAAGTTTCTCATCGTTACCAGCTCACCAGTTGCCACTCATATTTATAGGGACTAGCCAATCCTTGAATGAACTGGCGATATGTTTCGGGTACCTGGAATCAGCACAAGGAATAATGCGGTTCAACAAGAAACATTGGATGACTATAGATAAGTGTATTAACGCAATACAGAACAATAAAAAATATATGGGAGTGGTTGATATGGGTACTTAATACGGGTATTAGTATAACTGAGAACTATATAGCGGTTTTCATTCCATTATGAAAAGAACTGTTGTGATTCTCTCCACGAATGGGGATACAAGACTTGAGAAGGTGAGACCATTTAATATGCTGCTCAGACAAGGCAAGTCTCTGGATTAAGTTTAAATCATTACCAGTTACATAGGGCTAGCACCCATTCTCAGCCAATCCAACCTAACCTAACCTACTCTAACCTAACCTAACCCTAACATAACCTTAACTTTACCTTAACCTAACGTAACTTTTTCAAATTGCTCAGATTTGGAAAAAATGCATGTTTAGGTTTGGCTAAGGACTATCTCTGGAATTATATGCATATTGGGTTGGAAAGAAAGTCTTGCAACACTCTGCGCAAATTCTTCAAAATGTTATAACTTTATTGAAATGCAATTTTAGTCTACAATGTAATGACCATTGTTGTCTATGACATGTTCCCAACGCACGGGTAACTGCTCGATGCCCTTTGCCCAGAACTCTGGCGATTGCGAAGCAAAGAAACGGCCGACATCATTTTCGAGCGGTGCTCGATCGTCTTGTGCCTTGTCCCGCAGGTGATTCTTGAGGGCCCGGAACGAGTGATAGTCGGAAGGGGCCAAGTCCGGAGAATACGCTAGATGGGGTAAAACTTCCCAGCCCAGTTCCGAAATCGTCTGGCGAGTCATCTTCGCAACATGTGGACGAGCGTTGTCAGGCAGAAGGAGAACTTTGTCGGTTTGGGACGCTCTTTTTGAATGACGCCAGCCAACTTCTTAAGTCGAGCAGCGTAGACGACGGCAGTCACGGTGGTACCGGTTAGCAGGAGCTCATAGTACAACATTCCTTCTGAATCCCACCGACAGCAGAGAAGAACCTTCTTCTTGTGGAACCTTGGTTTCGGTTCGTGTGGAGGCAATTCTCCTCGTGGAAGCCACTGACTCTTGCGAGTATGGTCGACGTAGACGACCCAGCTCTCATCTCCGGTAACGATTTCCTTCAGAAGGTCCTTTCTGTGCGGACGAAGGAGCAGTGATTCGCAGACACCGACACGGCCTGCCTTGTCAGAGTCACTAAGCTAATTAGGGACCCACGTCGAGTTAACCTTCCGATAGCCGAGGTCGTTCAGATGGTTCCCGATGGCCATATGGGTGACTCCAAGTGTAGTCGCCAATTCGCGAGTGGTGGCGTTCGGCTTCGAGTCGAGGGCGTTCCGCAGGGCTTCGTCATCGACTGTAGATGGACGTCCCGAGCGTGGTCGATCTCCGAAGGACGTGTCGCCAGATTCCAAGCGTTTCAACCATCGAGACAACGTGGAATAGTGGACGACGTTGCCCTCGAATGCAGTGCAGATGTTGTCCTCGGTGGCTCTCGCAGAGTGTCCTTGGAGGAACTCGTAGTAGACGATGGGGCGAAGAGTTGCTCGTTCGATCGGAGCCATGGCTGCCAACTAATGGCAGAAGCCGCCTTATATACCCCGAGGGCAGAAGCTTCGAGAACATTCCAGCACATACAAATGCAAAGCCCCGCCCATCATTCCTTGGAAAATTTTTATAAATAGTTTTAGAAAGTGTCGCTAGACTTTCTTTCCAACCCAATATATATGATTTTGATTGAAGGGCCAAAATCGGACATTCTCTTTTGGGTAAATGATGTATAGCTAGGCAATAGGTTGACCTAACCCAAAAATATTTCATTTCAAGGACATGATGAAAGTTTTTGACGTCAACTGAGGATGTAAATACATGCAAAAATGCGGTTTCACATTCTAGCTAAAAGCTACAACCATATTTTAATTATGACAACTCAAACTAAAGCCATTTGTTAATAGTAGCCTTCACAGTTCGAACCCTGTTGGTCACGTGACTTGTCCTTCCCACGTAACGTTGGAATCTTGGATTCATAAGTATTCTTGACATGGCAGGCAGGAAGGAAGAACGAGATTGCGATGAGGTGAGCAGGTGCATATAGGCTTGGGATTGAATTTGTAACGCGCTCTTTCGCCCTGTCGTAGCCTAACGACTTGAGTCTTCGATGGACCCGAAGTCTTCGATGGACTCTGGACAACTCGCGATGAGATCGCTCTCCGTGCACTGCACTGGAGTCGCGTGCGTTCAAGAGAATCACGATTGGGAGAACCACGAAAGAAGAGTCACAGAACAGGAAGCACGTCGAACAGGAACTCTGAATCATACAGGCTTTCTTATCAGATTGAATTTGGACCCTCTTGCGTCATGACTGATGGAGATAACGCCTCCTCCAGAGGATCCGCTTCACGAGATAATAGGAATATCACCACCCGTGCGGGATGGGACCATCGACGAGTGATGATCGACGTTAAGAGACGAGATAATCGGCCGACTTCGACCCCGTACCACAGTCAGTTCTATATGCAGTGTAAGTGTAATGGGCAAACATTCCAACGAATTGGTTCGGATAGGTTCTTTGAATTGAAAACACTGAACACATTTTTGACAGTCAATTTCTAAGATTCATAAAACTGTTTCATGTTCTTAAATGAAAGTCAAGAGGCAAATTGTCTAAAGTATCTGTTCAATAGTGGAGATCAAAAACAATTTCCTTTAGACCATATACCTCCAGGATATTAAGTATTTAGGGTAAAATCTGGAAATTACTACATTGTAATTTGGCGTAATTTGCGCGGGGCACCGCAATTTTCAATATAAACCATTGAAGATGTGTCATTAAGGAATTGACTGCGGGGCTAGGAAAAAATTGAGGAACATATCAAACAATATACCTTGTAACATACATTTCGGATGCTTAGCAAAACTAAATCCTTGAGAACTAAAAATCTGAAGAAAAAAAATGGTTCATGCTGATCCACCCTCCCTAAAGGAGCGTGCTCATAGCATTAAATGACAAATTCATTCCCTCGTGAATTTCTGCCGACAATGACAACCGGCCGCCACATACCACTTTCTTCAGTTGATGCGGTTTGTCCCGTCAGTGTCTCTGTTTCCTTACTCTTGGAAGCAGTGGAAAGTCTAACCTAGTGATGAAATATTCCCTTAGTGAGAAGGGAGAGGCATCCTCCAAAATGCTTGGAACTCCTCGTCTCAGAATTCAATAAAAACACTAAATGATGGCACTCCGCCATCCTAGCCATAAATGCCTCTGTTTCAGTCCTCAGACGAAGCAGCTACTTGTCCTCATCATCATACACCTTCCAAGAACTCTGCACACCAGGGACGGATGGTTCGAGAGCCTCTAACTAGATTAAGGAAGACTAACGAAGAGCGTCTGTGGATGACTAGAATGAGTGACCCTTGTACGTGAAAGAGGGAAACAGGAAGAAGGGGATGATTAGCTTCGAATAAGTACAGTGTGATGAAAAGAAAATGAGCGAACCTTCTAACCAATATATCTCTGCGCCACTTGAGCGATTCCGACGAAACTTTCCACGAGTGCATATGATCCGCACTTATGACGGGAATTTCGTTCTAATTTCATTCCCTCAAGGCAAGGCAATGAGCAATGGTTACGAAGAAGTTGGAGGCTGACAAGGGGCAAGGGCTCTTCCTGGAATCGGATGAAAAGCCCGAGCCATCTGCTTCCAAATCCTACAGACACCATCCAACTCCCGGTGCATCGAAATTCATTTTTGACTGCCATTATTATGGAGAGGGTTCTGATCAACTTAAGATCGATTCATGACAGATGAAGCAGTAAGTATTCAATAAGGTCTCTGTCGGAGAACGAGGCAGTCGGAATATCACTCAGAAGGGACTGGAGTCCCACGTTAATTGTTTATTTTCGATTTCTTGTGTGTCATCGCTCAAGGATAGGCCTCGGAAATGTGAATTTAAATTAAGTTAGTAACAGGCTGAGAACCTGTCAATCTGTGTGCATTATATGTTTCGTAAAAGTAACTTCCGTGAGAGCTGAGATTCACAAGTTAAAAGTCATTACCCACTTTTGCCATCCACTATATATTCATTATGGTCTACATCAAGGCTTCCGTAAGATTCCTGTGGTTTTGAGTCATTACGAGTCAAGCGGCCTGAAAGGGCGTTAGTGCAATGTGAGTCGTAAAAGCACAAGCAGCTCAAGACCTGGTCACTTCCAAAAGGAATTCAGCAATTCAAAGCATTCATATATGCTAAATTTATCTCGGAATGATGCAAACAAGGCGACGGGAGGGAAACAGTCTGAAAGTCTAACATTTCCTTTTAAATTCCTCTGAAAACATATGGAAAAACAATATCGTGGACCGAAGTCTCCATGACCAGGATTTTCCCTATTCTCCTTCGTCCTGCGCATCTGGCAGGATCCCCATCGAGCACACATTTCTCTCACTCGTTCGTGCGCATTCGAGCGTGCAGAATGGTTTCAGCACTCCTCGCTCAAATGCCTCCACTTCCACTATACTCTGCCCAATCGACCGAGCATCCCCATTAGCCCATTGAACGGTACGGCCGTGCGCTCTCGGTCCCGCAAGAGTTTGGTCGGTATGTCCTGGATCTTCCAATTCAAATTGTCACATTTGTATAGATGCCGTCAGTTTGAGGTAAAAAACTGTTGACAAAAGTAAAAAATTCTGAGCTGGAGCCAATTCGCAAAAAAGACCTGGGAGCACGGCCAGTCAAAAAAAAAACTCACCGCTCAAAGAATTAAAAGCGGCCTTGACAAGAGAAAAAAGACAAGACAAGGGCGGTTGCCCTTGACAAAGGTCACTTGCCGTCGTTCCCTCCCTGATACGAACAACCCAACGACCAACAGTGAATATTTCATGAGCATAGTCTTCATTTACCTTCACCAAGTCATCAGGAATCGACTTTGGGTACGATCCTTAGGGATCCTGTCCTCAAGGTCGCACTCTGCAGCCGTTTTCGAGACAACTGGGTCAAAAAGTACAGCCAATTTTGTTATTCTTGAAAATTTATTCTTCATTTTATTCTATTCGTTTTCTTCTACAAAAGAGCGACATACAAAGAAACAAGCAAAGTATATCAAAATGAAGCTCCATGCTCCCACAACCATCATCTCATCTTCGAGGATTTTGAGTAAGCAAAGAAATCGAGAAGGCGATGCAATACTTTTTACCCGTGCGAAGTTTTTGATTTATTTTATTCAAATAAAAGATTTTCAATTGCATACAGCGCTTTCTGAGCATTCCTTGCATATGAGAAAAAAGAAAAGCAATTGCATGATTGAAGTCTGATTACAAAAAATATCTGATATATATATATATATATAAATCCTTCCACGGCACCTGCCGGTATTGGAGATATGAAGGGGGATGAACCACATCCCAGACCTCATACTCGCCTA